CTGTTAGGGTCATTGGTTTTGTTTCGCTACCACTCTCCCACCTTGAGCCTGATGACCTATCCCACCTTCATGTGTGACTGCCCTTAGGAGTTTCGATTCTTAGGCTGCATTCACCCCCTCTGAGACCATCCCACTTTTAGTGGTTCAGCGACATGACATTATCTTGTGACATATTGCTCTTCTCCTTTCAGCACTAAGGTCACTGCCTCTAGGACTTTAGGAGTGTATCATGCTACATTTCATTTTCTGCTGTTAGCTAGGATATGTATACTAGACATTTGCTTTTCTTTTGACATTATATAGCTTAGGATGCATCGCATGGACTCTGCATGGAGCTTGCTCCGCATCCTAGATTTCTCAGCTTTCTTTATTGCAGAGTTCCGCTGCTTTTGCGGATAGTGTGTTTATGGCTCTTGCGATCCATTACAGGTCTGAGGGCCTTCATCTGCCCTGGCCCACAGCCAAGGCCTATTTGGCTATTTGCCAGTCCGGCCTTTGGGACCAGGCCGTGACCTGACCCCACAGGCCGTGCGGTTATTTAGTCCAGTCCAGTCCAGTCCTGCCCGGTACCACTGTCGGTACCAGGCCAGTCCAGGCCAGTCCAGTCAGTCCGCTGGGGTTATACCCCAGCTGCAGTTTGTTTTGTGGCATTCTTCATTTGCACAGATTGGAATACGTGCGTGTCGAGTCTGCGTTGGAGTTGCGCTGTCCCTTCCAGCTCCATCTTCATCTCCCCCATCCTCATCCCTTCGTCTTGATCCTGACGGACCGCCATCCCGGCGGGTCCGTCACATTCGCTGGGCAAGCGCTCACCCACTCCCGAAAGTTGATTCAGTGCGCAGGTCCTCCACCCAACCGCACACAAGAGACCACCACTCATCGCCTGACACCAATGTTTGACCGCAGCCAGCATCAGCCCTCCGCGCAATCAAATGCAGACCGTCCGCCCCCCCCTGTTATCCGTGCTGAAATGGCCACAGCCAGAGATCATGCCAGCCGCAGTAAACAATGTGAACGTTACCGAAATGGCAGTAAGGGATGGAAGCCAGCATCCTACCAATACAACAACTGTTGTTGTTGCTGCTGCTGCTTAAGGTACACCACCTCCTCCTCTGCCACTGCTGCCACCGCCGCCTCCACCACCACCAACAACAACAACCCCGCCACCACCACCACCATCACTGCCATCATTATCAGCACCACCACCACCATCTCTCACCGCCACCCCCACCGACGTCCTCTGTTGCAGCATCCTCTCAGTCATCTGCATCATCTTCTTTTTCCTCTTCCCCTACTTCTTCCTGTACTTCCTCATCATCGACCGCCTCATCATCAACGCACTCATGGTCAGATCGGTTGTCACAAAGGCCCTGTCGGCCGAGGTATCCGTTGTTAGATCGATCGTTATTCCCCGTCTCCACAACGGCCTCCGAGACAGCGGCCTCGTTTGTCGTTGAATGGCCTGATCACCACGCATGCTCGCAACCGTACGGAACGACATCGTCGCTTTCAGTATACACTTGCGAGGAATAGTGCACATCGAGTCCGATGCCCGCAATGCGGCGATGATGTCTTCAGTGCTGCAGGCTTACGAGTGCATCAGACACGAGGTGCAGCTACTTGTGCAGCGTTTGCACGACTAGCAGCCGCCCTAAGCACAAGTGAGGCTGATCAGCTTCAGATTCCCACATCTGGTCCACGTAGTTCTCACCCACCTGACTCGCCCCTCTGTCATCCACCTAGCCCCACTCGGTCCCCTGCCCCAAATGACAATGGCCCATCTCCTGATTACCTGACAGAGCCCCCGGTTGAAGATCATCTCTCCGGAGCACATACCGGAGCCAATTGGTCAAGACCACATCGAGTCTCCGCCACCTGGGCAACCTGCAGAATCGAACGAGGATCCCCCTCCCGTAAACGGATCTCCCACACAACCTGCGGAATCAGACAATGTCATAGCGCTACAGCAAGGGCGTTGTGCGTACTATGTCATTAATGTATGTCTCCTTGCTTACAATTATAATCCTTATAACGTTGCTGATTTCCCAAACGTCGTTCGCTGGATAGAAGAAGAGCATCGTGTTGTCTGCCCAGACGATGACAGCACTGCGCCTGGGGTGAACACAAAAGTCCTAGCTATGGCATTTATGGGTAGGCGACTGCAATTCCAGCCTGCTCCGCAAAACCACGAGCCAGGCACGGATCCGAATATTCGGGCATATATCTTATATCGTCCAGGTCACTTCAGTGCTATTACCTTTGCAGATAATTCATGGACCCTATGGGACAATGGCGGTAGGGTGCACACAGTGAGAAATATTAACTCTTTCTATCACCAAATGCTGAAGGGTCACTCAGTCTGGCTCATCCATCAGGAACAGTATGTCGATGAGCATTTGCAAGCATTGCACCCCCCCGGAGAGCAATCCTGCTGATTCTACCACAAACAGTGAAAGGACCCTCCACAGGATGATGGTTGTGCCCTCCCGTTGTGAAGTTGCACAGGTACAGTTCGGTTGGCATGTACACGATATAGCCTCTGCTCCGAACACTATGAAGGGATGGTCGCTGCTAGCCTCTCACACGAAAATTGTGATCCCCAGTCCTGTGCTCATCCCCTCCACCCCCTTATTACTTGCCCAGCATGTCGTTGTGGCCTTGATCTACCATGCTTAAATAACTGTGCACGTCAGCCTTCCATACTAATGACATGTCAGCAACATGCTATGTGTCGTCAATGCTCCCAGGAAGCTGTCATAGAAAGTATGTGTCTTTACTGCGTGGACTATCCCCGGTGCCATCACCCTACACATCCTCTCCTAGCATGTCCCACATGCGGTATTGGTCATACACCTACGGCAACCGCTGACAGATCTCCCTCTTTCATGCCAGACGAACGAACACAGCAGTCCGAGGAGGAAAATAGACTTCTATATGAACCACCGGCAGAGCAATGTGCTCCTAGTTTATCACCACCAGGGCGAGCTGTTGTGGGTCATATCCTGCAGCAGCTGAATGCCCTTGTGTTGGACCGATCCCCCTGTTGTCGTCTGCCCAAAGAGAAGGAATACATACTGAGGAAGCCCAAGAAACATGCTCCATGCCGTTTTGTGATGACCCGCCGGAGATTCAACTAGCACGTGGTTCACATGCCTTGTGCCGTGAGGATTATGAAGGTATAGTCCATTCAGTACCGTACTCATGTACGGCACCCCGACATATCATGTCCAATTTGTAGACAGGGGCTGGAAAGGCAATGCCTCTATAATTGCGGTCGACGTGCCTCTGTGTTCCTAGCATGTACGAGCCACGTAGCCTGTGACATCTGTCTGCGCCGTGCCATTCGATGCAGCAACTGTGACTGCGAAAATTGGATGCGGTGCTTCCATAGCCCACACCCGAACCGGTACTGTCCGGTCTGTAGGGTTGGCCACTCACCATAGTTCAGCGGTGAATATTTAGAAATCTGTGAAACCCGTCATACACCTTTCCCCTGCTCTTTGCATGTCGTACTCTATCCTGCCCTCCCTTTGCCCCTACCTCCCCTGCCTCATACTCCTAGAGAACTCCGCCTTCTACCCCTTACCCTCCACCCTCCCCTCCACTCCCCTCGTACTACCAACAAATACATACGAATGAGCATCATTAAGAGTATAGACGATATGAAGATCAGAAATGAAATGAACGAAAGTATGAAGATGAAGGACGGACACAAAGACTGTATAAGCTGAAGATCTGAAGTGAAATGAACTCGGAAGAGATGCACAGGAGCATACCTTCCCTTTTACTCTGCCTCCTAAAATAACGTGCAAGCGGGCCATGAAGGCACATGGGGATGTGGGCAGCTGCCGCTCAACCACAATCAACATGGGCAGCCTTGTGCGTAAGAGGCACATACATTAACCCATGCCATATGTCTCGTGGATACTGAGGGCTAATGCGACCGCCCTCAGCCCAAGCCAAACAGGGGCACACGACCCCACATAAGGACTCGGGCCTGGTCGTGAGGCAGTTGACTTTGGTCAACTGTCGAAAATTCCAACAGTCAAAGTCCAAAGGTACCTAGCCCAGGCCGCTGGTCAAGCACACACACTTGTTTGTATGCAGGTACCCAGACAGCATCAGGTCCAAGGGAGAAGTCTGCAACTGTACAATCCGGGCCTTCAGCTGTGAGTCAATCTGGACGACTGTGGGAAAGGCACCCGAGGCCAGACAGCCTCGACGATGGCTACGTAAGACTGGCCTCGAGTGAGTCAAGCATTCAGTCTTGCTATGCTGCTTTGACGCTGGCTCGACTTTGAATAGACGCTGGTTTCATGCTGGCGCGACGCTGGCTACATGCTGGATGTGCACAGGCACTGCGGGCGACAGCACGAGGTGGAGGCAGCATGCTGGCGCTTCCTCAGTGTGCCAGGCTATGCTGATGTGGCGTTGCCTCTGGTCTATGTGGCGCTGCCCTTGATCTACGTGGCATGCTGATGTGGCGCTGCCTCTGGTTTATGTGGTGCTGCCTTTGATCTACGTGGCATGCTGATGTGGCGCTGCCTCTGGTTTATGTGGCGCTGCCTTTGATCTACGTGGCATGCTGATGTGGCGCTGCCGCAGGTTTATGTGGCGCTGCCTTTTGGTCTATGTGGCATGCTGATGTGGCGCTGCCTCTGGTTTATGTGGCACTGCCTTTGGTCCACGTGGCATGCTGATGTGGCGCTGCCTTTGGTCTACATCGTATGATGTGGCGCTGCTACTGGTCTTCTTTGAAGATGTGGTGTATGCCACTTGTCTCGAATGCTGACGGGGCATTGTCCACGCTGTCTACATGAGGTGACTGGTTGCAAGGAGGAGGAAGATCGGGAGCTGTGGATGAAGGAGGTCGGGTACTCACCTGAGGTTGACGTCGTCACTGGAATCTGCTATGTCTTCATGGTCTTCACGAGATTAAGTGCCACGTGGCACTATTGTGTGTGATCAGGATTATACTTATGATCATTGTTGACGTGGAGAGGGAAGAAGCCTGAAGAAGGTGAGGGATCTGAAGAGACTATTACTGTGTGATCTCTCATCTTCTCCTTTGTCTGTTCCCCCTCCACTCTCTTCCTTTTGATGGTAATGAGATACTGTTTGAGTTATCACCTCACAATTTGGAGACTTTGATGCAGATATTGAGACTACTGATATTTGACGACTTCCTAGTATCTGCCAAGACTGGGTTCATTACACACAGTAAAAGGGGAGCTGCAAGAACAATGAAAGGGGTACCCCAAGGACAACCAAAAAACTGTGTAATTATAAAATTGCTTTAATATGTTGGACATCTCAAATGCTCTCGTTGTCTGCAATAGGACAAAGACTGCTTTGATTCTGAATCTATTCACCTGGGTGGAATTGGGGCTGTTGTGGGGAAAATCTAAAACACACACACACACGACATGTCATGTCCAATTTGCAGACAGGGGCTGGAACGGCAATGCCTCTATAATTGCGGTCGACGTGCCTCTGTGTTCCTAGCATACAGGAGCCACGTAGCCTGTGACATCTGTCTGCGTCGTGCCATTCGATGCAGCAACTGTGACTGCGAAAATTGGATGTGGTGTCTCCATAGCCCACACCCAAACCGGTCCTGCTGTCTGGTCTGGGGTGGCCACTTGCCATAGTTTTTTTTTGTTTTTTTTTTGGAGCCATGCTAGAGCAGTCTGTTTCAGCGGTGAATATTTAGAATTCTGTGAAGCTCGTCATACACCTCTCCCCTGCTCTTTGCATGTCATACTCTATCCTGCCCTTCACAGATTTCTTTCCTTCCCTTTGCCCCTACCTCCTCTGCCCCATACTCCTATAGAACTCCACCTTCTATCCCTTTCCCTCCACCCTCCTCTCCACTCCCTTTGTGCTACTAACAAATACATACGAATGAGCATCATTAAGAGAACAGGCGATATGAATCAGAAATGAAATGAGCGGAAGTATGAAGATGAAAGACGGACACAAAGACTGTATAAACTGAAGATCTGAAGTGAAAGGAACAG